AACACCGCCCCCGCCACTCCCGAAGCGCGGCTCTGCGGTTGCCTGGCAACGGCGCTGGGGCGCGCGGAGCGAGGACACGGGGCGGGGGACACGGGACACGCGGGACATACGGGAAACGCAGGACACACGAGACACACGGGACACGCAAGACATGCAGGACGTGCGGGAAACATGGGACATGCAGGGCACGTGGGACATGTGGGACACATGGGACATGCAGGACATGCAGGAAACACAGGACGCGTGGGACACATGGGACACGTGGGACACGTGGGACACGCGGGACGCACAGGACTCACAGGACACATGGGACATGTGGGATGTGTGGGACACAGAGGACACACGGGATGCAGGACACACAGCAGCTCCGGGGCATGCAGGACACGTGGGACACGTGGGACACGCAGGACATTCAGGACGCACACACAGAGGACACGTGGGACCACAGGACACACGGGACCACAGGACACACAGGACATGCGGGACACGCAGGACACGCAAACCAGCGCTTTCAGCCCCTGAACTGTGGGGCCACGGGTGGGAGTGGGCCGCATTGCCGGAGGTGGGCGTCCCCACCCCGGCTGCCGCACAGGCGCGGATGTCACCGGGCCAGGGCCGCACTCGGGAGCTGCCTGGGCCTGGCTGAGCCTTGGGCTGCCCGGCGTCAGGGCAGCTCCGGACACCACAACAGGGCAGAGACTCGCTGTTGTCTCCACACAGCCTTTCTGGCTGTACCCCCGGACTGGTTTTCAGTCGCCCAGCACCTCCCACAGAGCCCAGCCAGGGGGGTGCCTGCCATGCCCTTCCCAGGCAGCTTCCCTCCCCTCGCTGGCCCTGGCCCGCAGCCATAGCCCGCGGTGGCAGGCAGGGCTCTCCCGGCTGGGACAGCATGCCTTGGCACCCTGGGGCGCCCTGCAAACCGCTCCCAGGATGGAGCAGGGAAGGGAGCGAGGGAGGCTCGGTGGCAGTGGGAACCTGCGTGGGTCGCAGCCGAGCACGGGGCCCTGGGACCACTTCTGGGGAGAGGAGAGAGCCACGGAGCCAGGGCCGGCCCTCCCGCCTCCGGTGGCTCAGGCTCTTTCACAGAAACCAGGCGAAGTTTCTGGATCTCCCCGGGGCTGTTCCCAGTTTGTCCTCATGCCTCCTTGAGTCGTGTGTGGCTGAGGAGCCATGCAGGGGTCTGTCCCTCATGGCCGTCTGTCCTTCTGCCAGCTGAGCTCCAGACAGCCCCAGCTGTGTCCCATGGGGGAGCAGGGCCGGACCTCCAACCTGCAGAGCACCCTCGTGTGCCTGCAGCACGAGCCATGGAGGTGAGTGAGAGCCTGCACTGGGCTCCTCGCAGCCTGAGGTGGGGATACCTGGGGTTGGGGACACCCAGCCAGATTTTAACCCCCTGACAGCGGGTGACAGGCTCCGTGCCTCCTGACCTGAGCCCCATGTTCCTCAGTCCCCCATGCTGAGCACTGTCCTGGCAAGGGCTGCATGGGCAGCTTGGTCTCGCCCTCCCCATCACACGGGGAGGACAAGCTGGCTGGCATCCCGGAGAGGAACCAAAAGCAGCAGGGCTCCCCAGGGCTTCACCCTCCCCAGCAGAGGAGCCCAGGCTCATCCTGGAGGGTGCTGAGTCCGAGCCAAGCAGGAGAGACAACTGATCCAGGCCCCATGTGAGGAAAAGAGCAGAGAGGTGCATGTCACAGCTTTTCCGGGGGCGGTGGGGCACGGCTCAGCGCTGGTGCGGCTGCTGTGTGCCCTAGGAGCATCGCTTTGTCACCGGTGGAGCCCCTGCTGTGGTAGCAGCTGGGACAGCCCTTCAGGCAGCACCAGCAGGGAGGCTGGAGGAGGCCACAGAGGACACGCAGGAGCTGGACTGTGAGCGGGATTGGTACTACAGGTACTATAGGTACTTCAGGTGAGGATCCCCAGGGTGGGAGACGAGGCGGCCCCTCCAGGCAGCTTGGTGCTGGTGGGGGGACCATGCCCCCCTTGGTGCAGTGCTGGCTGACCCCGCAGTGCCACCCTGCTGTCCTGCTCCCATTGCTGCCAGAGCTCTGGTGCCAGAGGAGTGAGTGCGACGGGGCCCCACACACCCCCCCAGCTCCTCACTGCCTTTGGCATCTGCACTTTGCAGACCTCCAGGTGCCACCGTTGAGAGGTGGGTGCTGCAAAATTCTGCCATGTGCCCCTTCCCACAGGCCAGGGCCTTCCACTTTCCTCTTCCTCCTTCTGCTTTTCCTTTCTCCTTTCTTCTTCCCCCTTCCCCTTTCCCTTCCCCTTCCCCTTCCCCCTTCCTCCTTCCTCTTTCCCCCTCCCCTCACTTCTTCACCCTTCCTCTTTCTCCTTTCCCATTCCCCTTTTCCCTTCCCTTTTTCCCTTCCCCTTCCTATTCCCTTTCCGCTTCCTCTTCTTCTTCCTCCTTTCCCTTTCCCTTCCCCTTCCCCTTCCCCTTCTGCCTCCTCTCCCCCTCAGGCAAGGGGCTGGGACCAGGCCCTTGGAGGAGCAGCTACTCCGCTGCTGCCAGGCACAGGCAGCACAGACGGTGCAGGCAGCACAGACGGTGCAGACAGCGCAGGCAGCACAGGCAGTGCAGGCAGCGCAGACGGTGCAGGCAGTGCAGGCGGTGCAGGCAGTGCAGGCAGTGCAGGCAGCACAGGCAGGGGCCCTGCTGCAGGCGCAGTGGGAGGAGGAAGAGCTGGCTGGCCAGGGAGCGGTGTGGGCCAGTGGCACCGCAGGTGACACCGCTGGCCAGCCGGAAGGAGCGGGAGCAGGCGGAGGTGCTGCTGGATGCTGCCCTGGGCCAGGGGGCAGCTCGGTGGGGTGTGCTGGGGGGCAGAAGGGGGTCCCCCTTGAAGCAGGGGACGGCCGCCAGGGCCAAGCAGGCAGCTCAGCATGGCAGGCCTGGCTCCTGCCTGTGCTTTGCCTGCCAGGGGGAGGTTGTCCGGCACCTTGAGCTTTGCGTGGGGGCCATGGGGCACAAGGCGACCCCATGCCCACTGGCTCCCCGGGGGGGGGGCAAGGCAGATGCCACCTGGCAGGAGGGAGAGGAGGTGGCGTGGGGAGAGGATGGCGTGGGCTGAGGCAGTGGGGAGGCAGCAGAAGCTCCATCCCGAGCAGAGAGAGCAACAAAACCCTGCCGGGCTTAGCCCTGCCCGGGAACGTGTGTATGCGGGGGTGAGCAGCACGGCCAGGTGTGGCGCAGGGCTGGGCGTTGAGGGCAGCGCAGCAGCTCATCGCCACTGGAGGGGAGACATGAGGAAAATTTCCTAGCAAGAGGTGAGTTAGGCTGTAGAAGACATGGCTGGAGCGAGGTGCTGGGCCTGGGCGAGCCACTGGGAGGCTGGCGGGGAAGGGCTGGCACTGGCAGAGGGGCAGGGCCGAATGAGCTAATCGCTCATTTTCCATCTCGGCATTTTATGGTTCTATGAATTTTCACCCTGTTAGAAACAGGAGAGAGAACACAACCCAAAAATAAGAGCAAGGGCAAGCAAGAGAGGAAAAAACCCAGAGGCACGGGGAGTGCTCGGCATGGCAGGGGTGGGCGAAGGGCTGCAGCGAGCCCCCTGGTGTCCCTCGCCAGCTTGCCCCTGCACGGGATGCCGTGCAC